GTCGGCGCCGGCGCCTCCCTCCTATTGGCTATCACCTCGGCGGGAGGGGCCGCCCCTGGCGCGGGACACCTGGCGTCGCCCCTCCGCGGGGACATCGGCTGCCGGCCTCGGAGCTCGGGAGGGTGGCAGCCGGGCAGGCAGGGCCTCGGCCGAGCTACCGGCGACTGCCCCGCGCTGCGCGCCACCTCGCCTGGCGCCGGGACGCACGGTGGCCCCCGCTCCGGCCGCACCAGCCGGAAACTTGTCGCGCGGAGTCCCCGGGCCGCCTGGCCGTGCCATGAAGCGTCGGCTCGGACGTGCGCCCCGCGGGGTCTCCAAGCCCCGCGCGTGATTGCCGGGCTCGCCTGCGCCCCGCGTCTGCCGCGCCCCGCCGCGCGCGCGCCGCCGCCAGGATGCGCTACGCCGACCCCTCGGCCAACCGCGATCTGCTGGGGAACCGAACTTTGCTCTTCATCTTCATTTGCGCCTTCGCGCTGGTGACCTTGCTGCAACAGATCCTGTACGGCAGGAACTACATTAAGCGGTAAGAAAGTCCGCTAGTGGCCGGGGTGCACGGGGGGCGCGCGGGACGCGATCGTCCGCGGGAGAGCGGCCGAGGGGTCTCCGCTTGGCCTTGAGCGCCGCCGCGTCAGGCTGGGGTCACTGAGCCCAGAGCGCACATATGCTCGGAGCCGGAGGATAGTGCCTGTCCAAGGCCCGCTGAGGGTCTCCTCAACTTTGTTCCCCATGGAATTGGGGAGATGGTTGGAATTCGGAGCAGCCCCGCTGACGCTAAATCCTTTGACTGTCAGGAGCAGCCGTGAGGGTCACAGCGATGTCTCTCACACATGGGCATTAGGTTAGGGAAGAGGCTCCCGGGATGAGGGCTCAAAACTGGTTAGAGTCACCTGGTGAGTCTTGAACTTTTGTGGGGACCCATGGAGGGACAAAGCCGCCCCCTCTCCTCAGGCGGTGATGGTGGGCTGGGAGAAGGGATACTGTATTCTTGTCCGTTCACAGCCTTTGTTGGCTGCGGAGACAGATGGCTCTCCTCCTCAGCAGGGAAGGTCAGACCTGAGGCCGAAGTTAGCCCCCCCCTGCACATCCCCTTCCCCAACACAGAAGAACTACCTTCAGAGAAAGACTGGAAGGAGGTGTCACTTAGAAACTCGGGCTCAGCCCCAATCCCCAGCTTGCCTACCGTTTGCTTATCTGCTGTGAGGACCGAGGGGAGACGCGCTTCGGGTCACCCTGCCCGCAGTTAGCGGTGGAGGAAGGGTGCCGTAGGAAGTCTCTCGTGGAAAGACATCCCCATTCGCTGCTGGAGGCCTCTGCCTTGACTGCCAGCGTCTCCCCACGCTTGCCTCCCCTCCCCCAGATGGAAAGGAATGGAATACAGAAGCCGCCCTGGCTGTAGAAGCGCCCTGTCTCCCCAGCGCCTCACATAACAGCTGTTCCCTTTGGAGGGACCCCAGCAGTCACTTGTGCACCTAGTCAAGGCTGCGCTCGGGCTGGGAAGGTGCAGATGGGAAGGGGAGTTAGGCTGCTAGGACCTGAGAGAATTCTACCTCTTAGGAACACCTCCAGGGCTGGGGAGCTGGATACTCCTTGTCCTGGGTCGTTTTTCTGTCCAGCCACTCACTGTTCCTAACCTTCCCAGGGAGACTTCTTCCCTGGCGGACAGTGGCTGTTGACTCTGGGTGGAGTTGGTGGCTTACAGGACATTTTCACAGCCTCCTGGCTTGTTGGATCGCACTGGGCCTGCCGCCTCCTTTGGTTCCCCCACCCTCCAGAGATGACCCTGTGCAAGGACAGCTGGGCCCCGGTGGCCCGCTGCAGCTCTGCGGCCTCCGCCTGCTGCTGTCCTGGCATTGTTCCTGGGCAGGTTGGCGCTGGGTGCCTGCCCCCTGCTGGCACCTACCCAGAGATGCAGGGGCGGCCAGAGCCCTTCTTCTTTGTCACCGGGGCAGAGTATCAGTGTCCAGGGCAAAAGCCAGCTCAACTGCTAACACTGGCAAGGGCTCCCCGGTCTTGGGTGGCTGGGCTTGCTTCCCAGGGTTCAGTTGTTTTACCAGTCTGTCACCCAACCGCCCCATTCAGACACCTTGACTCTCCAAGTGGCACTGGTGCCACTTGTAAGTTCCACTTGAGAAGTGGAGGGAGCAGAACTTGGATATCATGGGTCCTGGCAAGTTGCTATGGGGACTGTGCAAACGATAGTGTGGTACTTGTGCATAGAGACCTTGAACTCAGAGACTTGAGACAGGAAATAAGTGCTAACCTGTTCAAGAAGTCACAAAGAGAGGAGATGCCAGAGAGTGGAGTAGGTAGGGAAGACTGCCTGGAGGAGGTGAAATTTAAACGGAACTTTGAATCAAGGGTCTGAAGTGAATAGGTGGAGGGGAAGTGCACTTACAGAATCAAAGACAGTGGGAGTCGATGTGGAGACTGTATCGTATTACCCCACAACCTGCTCACCCTACAGAACTTGGCTTAATAATTGGGTAAGTCCTCAGGGCCGTCTCCTTGACCTCACACCTTTGTACCCAGTTCACCTGCTCACCAGCCTTGTTTGCTGTACAGATCCCGATTACATTAGGTGGTTTGTATCTAGGGCTTCAGGTTGGTTCTTCCTGCTTCAGTTCAGTGGTTGGTGAGTTGAAGCTCGAGCGATTTGTTATTGTTGAGTACCGTCAAGTTGGAACCAATCAATAGCTGAATGGTCAGTGGGTTTTCAGAGGCAGTTAATTGTACAGAAACAGATTGCACATCCTTCTCCCAAGGAGATTCAAACTGTGTACCTTTGGGATTGCAGCTTAGCTTCTTACCACTTCTTACCAGGCCATGAGAGCACCTGAATTAGTGGATTACTGGACCCAAATTTGTAAAAATGTACATGCACCAGAATGATAACTGGAGCAGGAAAAATCTCAGGTTAATGTTGTGTTAGGAACTCAATCTCTTTCCTAGAAAACAAGGCCAATGAATGCATTTCATAGCAACCAAGTCTCTTGATCTACAGAGTCAGAAACAGTGATGCCTGGCTCAAAGATGGTGGCCAGCTATGCTGCTTTGAAAAAGGGTTGCTCCATGGCTCTGGCATAATCCACGCTCTCCTCACTTTAGGTTCTTGAAAGGACTTTCTTTGCTGCTTCTGAGCCTCCCAATTTCCAGTTCCTTTTGTCATTCTGGTGCATTCACATTTTACAAGTTAGGATATGCTCTAATTTCACTGTGTTGGCCATGATTGAACCAGTTTGAACTGGCTCAAAGCCCACCTTATATTGTGATTATTGGTCTGTCTTCTTCTAAAAACACTGGATGAGTAATTCTTTTTTTTTAAAAAAAAATTTTTAATTATTATTTTGTACTGAAGAGCAATGGTGTCTCTCTGGAGACTAAGGTGCGTCTGATACAGGCTATGGTCTTCGTAGTCACTTGTTATGCATCAGAGAGTTGGAAAGTGACCAAGGAGGATAGAAGGAGAATTGATGCCTTTGAGCTGTGGTGCTGGAGAAGAGTATTGAGAATACCATGGACTGCTAGGAAAACAAACAGATTTGTCCTGGAGAGGGTTAAACCGGTTGGCTCCTTGGAGGCAAGGATTCTGAGGCTCCGTCTAACATACTTTGGACATGTTGTGAGGAGAGACCGGTCCTTAGAGAGGGACATCATGCTTGGGAGGGTGGAGGGACGGCGCAGGAGAGGAAGGCCCTCTATGAGGTGGATTGATTCAGTGACTGGGATAATTGGGATGGGAGTGTCAGAGACAGTGCGATTGGCACAGGACAGAACGGAGTTTAGGGCTGTCGTACATAGGGTCGCTATGAGTCGCAGGCGGCTCGACAGCACATAACAACAACAACAACAACAGCAACAGTTATTTTGTATGTACCATCAAATCAGATCTGACTGGCACAGGAGGAGATTATCCCTCCTTCTTCAGCAGAGCATCTGGTGGATTTGAACCCTGTACCTCTGGGATTGCAGTGCAGCTTCTTGCCACTAGGCCACCAGAGCTCAGGATGAGTAATTCTTAAACAGAGGTCTAGATATTGCCTGCATGAGGATGCCCTGCAGGGCCGTTGAAAGACAGGTTCCTGGGGCTCTGAGTCTTACTTACATAGGATAAAATTCAGTAACCTGTTTTTTTTAACAAGTTCTCCAGCTTTTTTTATTATATGCTTAATATTTAATTTTAATTTAAATATTAATATTATATGCTTAATAAACTTAAGAACCACTGTTCTTTTTCTGTGGTTCTCAGTTGAAGGCAGTTCTACTCCCTCAGCAAAGCAAAGTCTAGAAACTTTTTTTAAAAGATATTTTTACATTGCCACAACTGAAGAGACAAGAGTGTTACCGGCATGTAGTGAATAGGGGCCAGGGATGCTGTTAAATGTCCTACAGTGTCTGCCGTCTACAGCAAAGAATTATCCAGCCCCCAAAGTCCGTGGTGCTGAAGCTGAGAAACCTTGCTAAAGAGGAGAAGTTCTACATGGGAGGAAATTAACTCTGTTTTGTTCTCAGCTGCATCCTAAGCACCAAGTAGGATGCTTGGCACATAGTAAATTCTCGGTAAAAATATTAGCCAACAAATAAATGAGTGCGAATGATGCATGTAGGGGGTATATAGAGACAGGAACTGGATGACACATCATTAAGAAATGAATGTAACAACTAGTATCAGAGGGACTGTGGTCTCAATGAAAAGCCTTTGAAGTTTAGAAGAGCAGTTTGAACTCAGTGTATTAGGCCAAACAAAACCAGGCTTGGTCCTTGAACCACTGATAAAGATGATTAATTGGATCCATTATAGGGAAGGCTGGAGATAGAGGCTGGACACTGTTGTCATAGCCCAGTCAAGTGAGAAGTTTGCATGAAATCCACTGTAGGCCTAGGGAACCCTTGAAATTAGCATTTATTGCTTCTCTGTTGAGCTGGTTTGATGTGTTCAGCCAGGGATCTATTGACCAGCTCTTGAAGACCGTGAGAGCACAGGGAGGGTAGGCTATCCTGCTATCTCAGTGATAATTTAGAAAGTCTCCCTGCCAGAAGGCATAGAGGGGTGTTGGCCAATGTGTGTCTGTGCCTTTGGATCTTTGCCCACTTCTTCTTGTGTTGACTCACTTCTGCAAAGGTGCCCGGAAGGCAGCCCATTTTACAGATACCTCCACTGGTCGAAGGGGAGAAGGAGGGAGTCATGTCTGCTGGAGAGCCCACACCATGTGGATTAGGAGGAAAAAGCAAGCAACAAATCGATACCATTTGGCCTTGATGTTCTTGGCTTCCCTATGACTGTGCCTGATTGAACATGAACTTTAAGAAGGTTTACTCTATACTGAGCATGACATGAAGTGCTGAGGATTCAGTGATGATCAAGACAGACACAACCCCAGAGTCCAGGGAGTTTACAGGAGAAAGGCACCCAGTTTATAAATAAGCTCTGCTTGGGGTATGGACAAAAGATCCTAAGAACGAGAGGGAGCTGAAATGAATCAGGATGACCTCAAGGTACATGGAGGCGATTGGAAAGAGTCTTAA